TTAATTATGGTTGCCTTAAATGATTCGTGAACGGTTTACAAGTTCCTTAAAAACTTGTTGGCGGCTCCCTACTTTGTTTTGTCCCTAATCGTATGTCAATTTCCACTTCCTATGAGTGCCAAGCATATTCACAACATGCTTAACGTAGGCGCACTTTGAATGACGCCCGCAATTTGGCGACTCCACTAGGGAGGATTATTGGTTATTTAGCAATTTTAGTGATCGGTATTTAATTGAGATGAGTGGATGCCACTTGAAAGATTCTTAAATTGTATTCTTGCAATTTAATTGGCATTTTTCTATGCATTGACGTTTTAACGTCGTATTTAGGTTTGCCTCGTAGGAAAATTGAATAACCTGATTGCAAACGAAAAAACAGAGGTACCAGTCAGATTTCCTAATCACGGCAAAAATTATCGTGTCACGGCACAGATTACAGTCACGTGGTAGCTTGTATCGTGACACGATAATTTCCGGCGTGTTGCGGCAATCTGTACTGTGACACGGTGCTTTCTGCCATGTCGCGGAAGTCTTGAAATCTTTCCAGTGGCTTTATTTTTTCTCACAATCAACATCCTTCGATTTTTCTGAAAATCGTTTGTGTTCTACATACGTTTTAGCCTCGGGGATTTAAGCTCTATCAAGAAAAAAACGTTTATGACAATTTGGGTTCATCTGAGTTATTAAATCCACCCAAACCTTGGAGTTTAGTTTGATTTAATCATGAACTCGTGGAGCCGCCCGTTGACATACACCCTCAAGGGATGAAGGGAGGCTGTCTTGCTAACGCATCCAAACTCTTAACCATGGTACCCATTTGACACCAAATAAACTTGACCATAGTGGAACATAGAACTTGACCTTGGGTTGAGAACTCTTCTTTGCATCATTGTGCCTATGTGCCCTATGTGTGTATATTTGATCGTTTTGATCCTAACTGTAGACACCTGATTTTGTCTCCCCAAAAATAAAACCCAGTGATGAGTACCTTTTATGTCATTGATAATCGAGCAAGGTTGATATTTGACGGTTTGGTCCCAAATCTCTATTTCAATTAATATTGTTTGATTTAATTTTTATTGAAGTTTACTAACGTGTGTATTGTTTTGATAGAAAGAAATACGAGGCAAAAAAGTGAGCAATTCAATTGCTCTATTCTTTTAAAAAGCTTGCTTAGATTATACTAATTCCTAGTATCATGTTTAGGGTGCCTCCTATTTCTTATATCATGCTAGTATCATGTTAGGGATGAAGCTTTGACTTTTATTATTTAGTGACACGCTAGGATTAGTTATTAATCATGTTAGTATCATGCCTAGGATCTTGCTAATATTTTTTTTTTAAGAAATCTTGCTAATATTATTATGCTTTGATGATGACATATATTTTTATTATTTTTATGATAATGATTGTTGTGTCAATATTATTATGTTTCTTGACGATATCATTGTTATTGCTTGATCACGCCCTCTCTTGCAGGTTTAAAGGAAATTTGTACTTGAAATCACGTCTAATAAGATAATTAATAATTTGGTTTAGGCTAATATGATTTTAATTCAACTGATCGTCAATAATAGATTTATTTGTGCATTAATAATCAACCAACATAAATTAAACAGGTTTAGGGCTAACTCAATGATTGTATGTTGATCGGAAAGCACACATGAATATTATAAAAATAAAGTAGAGGCCTATTTAGAGCGGGTTCAATCTCTTTTAGGTTGGATTCGTACCATCATCCCCGAATATCTAGTCATGGTTCCGGACCACTATGGATTTAGCGATCTCTGTTATCGTGAATGGGTTGTAACCTTCACACCCGTGAACGATTTGCAAGTTCCTAAAACTTCTTGGCGACTCTTATGCTCTAGCTTCTTTCCCTTTGGACGCCACCATGTTTAAGTGCATGATCACAATGGGGCTCAAAATTTAGTGTTGAAATATTCCCTACACTGTCCTTAATGATCTTTCTTCATCTATAGTGGTTTATTTTATGACTAACTAATTCCAATGGACACTTAGTAATAAGAGCAAACTCTAAAATTGAAAAAAAAAGCTGGAAAAACTCGCACAACAACAACCTGGAATTGATTGTCGTGCCACGGTAGAAATGTCGCGTCACGACAATCAGTGTTATGTCACGGCAGCTTGTACCGCACCACGGTACAGTTTTCCGTGTCACGACAGTAGTGTCATGCCATGGTGCCCAGATTAAAGCCAGTCAGTCCCTGTTTTAGTCTTCCATGCTATTTTGGTCCACTCGTCAGTCGTTTTGATACTGTTTACATGTCTAGCCATGCGATCATACCACGAATATTATAAGATCACCTAATCACTCACAAGTCAAGTATAGTCCACACACTTTCTTTATTTTTCGACTCAAGTCGTGCACCATGTCGTTTATGATTGTATACTAGGTTCATGCACCTCTTTTTTCGTCATAAAAAAATGAGTGGAGTTTTCTAATCCGTTTTCAAAATGTGTTTTTCCTTTTTTCTCTCCCATTTTGAGCAGTGAGTCAAACCATTAAGTATATTTGTTTCAATATCGCAGCACTTGGTCAAGAAGCAGGGGTAGATTGGTACGATTTGAGTTATTGCCACAACAACCTCTTATACCTAAGAGGTGTACAAGGAAACCACCACAATCATCTCCACGAATTTCTTCTCCATCTCTAGTTTACTTTCAACTCATGGCCACTAAAGAAGATATTGAAAACATTAGTAAATCTATCGAGGCACTCTCTGCCATGATACAAAATCTCACTACCAAGGTCACCACCATGGAGCAAATAATGTCACTATGGTCGTGGTGGACAAGATCAAGAAGCAAGTGAGTAAGATTTCTGAGGACTTCACCTATCTGGAACAACCTTCCACACCTTTGGATATGAAGGACAGGCTTCCTGCAAAATTCACCACTGCTGATATTCCAAAATTCAAGCCCACTAAATAACCCAATATTTCACTTAAAGGCCTTTTCTACAACCATGGTTCTCAAGGGATTGGATGTAACACTCTTCCCTACGGTGTTCCCTCTCTCCTTAGAGCATGTCGGCCAACAATGGTTTTATTCTCTAGATACCAAGCACACTGCAACTTGGCAAGATGTCACTGAAAGTTTTATGAATCGTTACAAGTGTAACATTCAAGCTAGAACTTCTGAACGTGAACTCTCCATTCTCAAACAAAAAGAGAATAAAGGCTTCACTGCTTATCTGAACAGGTAGAGGGAAACATATGCACTGTTGGTGGATCCTCCCAAAGAAAAGGAGATGGTTCATCTCTTCATCCAGAACCTAACTCACAAGTACAGGAAACATCTCAAATTCCTGCCCTTGAACACTTTCGAAGTTGTATATGATATAGGTACCAACATTGAGGACGAGTTAATAAAGACTGCTGGTAGTAACAACAATAATAGCACTTGGAAAAACAAGAAGAATAACCTTCCTTCTTCTTCGTCTTCTAAGCCCGAAAATACTACCAATAATATAAGCCAGGTCGATATCAATGAAGTGCTAGATCTTGATACTCCCCTTAAAAGGAAAAGGAGAACTTACACTCCTTTGGGAATGACATACGACACCGCCTTTGATCGCCTTTACGATCAAGGCTTGATTACACCTATTAGACCATTCCTAGAGCCAAAATCTGAACAAAGGAGTGCCAAGTAGAATCCAAATGCCCACTGCAAATTCCATCAAGGAATGGGCCACACCACCGAGCAATGCTGGAATCTAAAAGATGTCATTCAAGATTTGGTTGACGCAAACAAGCTTCCTGTCCCTCCAGACAACAAGAAGTAATGAAGACAAGGCGCACGTCGAATCTTTCGCACAAGATTTCATGATTTCTCTCTTATTTTTTTATTTACTTCCCTTTTCCCCACTCAAGTCTAGTATAGATTTCCCTTTCTGTCTTTATTTGAGCATTTTGATAGTTTGTTCACCCTTTTTTCCATTATTAAAATGAGCATTTCTTTTACATCTCGATCATGTTATTTGCGCATAAAAAAAATAATAATATTAAAAAAAAAACTTTTTCTGAACCAAGTACAAGGTATACCTATGATTTGAGGCACCCTTTGCAACCTATCATTTCCCCTTTAACTATCCACACACATCACATGTCCCTTTTTCTTCACTAACCACTTTGAGCCTCGACTCATGATTAGCCTTATTTATTCAACCCACATTCACCTAACCTTGGGATAAGAAGATTTGTAGTTTGGATAATATTCAAAAGCAAGTAAAAAAAAAAAACAGCAAAGCAATAATAAAACAATGTCTAAGGGCAAGTGTTCCAATGTATACGATATGAACACGTCTCGAATTGTGTCTCTCATCAAGTGCTTGGTACCGTGCCTGAGAAACATGTAATCTAAGTGAGTGATGGACCGCATGATCCGGGATTGCTCACATTGATTAAAAAGAATGCAAAAAAAAAAATGCAAAGATGAACAAATAAATTTTACAAAGTTCAATTTCAAATACACATCACTACAAGAAAGACCATTTATCGCGACGACAAAAGTCGTTACAAAATATCAAAAGTCGTTGCGATAAATATTTTTTGCAACGACATTTGTTATTGCAAGGTCGTTGCGGGAATGGGCGTAGCCAAAGCTTTTGCAAAAAAATTTATCGTTGCAAAAAATCTATTTTTCGCGACGACAAGAGTTTTTGCCAAATATATGTTGTTGCAAAACACACTAAATTCGATTATTTAGATCTCAATTTTAGCGACAGAAAATGTTGTTGCAATAAATATTTTATATGTATAGCAACAACAAAAGTTGTAGCAAAAAATCTATGCTTTGCTACGACTCTTATTGTTGCTATAAATATTGTACTCTACCCTACAACAACATTGTTGTAGCTAAAAAGATATATGTTTTACCATGAAAAGGTGGCACTACAATATACATTTCTTGATAACAAATTTTAGATATATGTGGTCAGAATAACTACATCAAACTATAAATTAGTCATACCCAAATGGTAATAATTGTAATTAGACCTGTCAAATACATGATATATTTTGGTATTAATCCACAAACTAACTAAGGATCCTTTAATGTTCTTAATATAAATAATGACATTATACTACATATATAATGTCGAATACTTTCTAACATTCTCCTATCTTTTTTAGCACCAAAAAATTACATTTTCATGTGCTTAATAAACATAAAAGAGACCTTCAGTCATTAAAAGGAAAGCACAATCCTTGGCAAAAAAATCCTTTCATCAAACCTCCAAAATGAATGACCATGGCACCTGAAAGTAAGTTTATACAAAACACAAAAAGTAAGTGCAAAATACAAAAAGTAAGTACTAAACACTATCATGTCTTATGATTAGGAAAGTTCCTAGAATTATAGTAACATAGGCATATAAAGTAGCAATTCATTCTAGGAAAAAGCCTTGACTCCTCCTTTTGGTTTTCTTGATTGTAAAAAAATACTATTTACCTTGTTGTTAAAATTAACTAGAGTCCTCTATTTGCAAGCTGCTACAATAAGTCCTTTTTAAAAGCCTCTATTTGCTCTTCTTGTTGTTTTTTGTACTCCTCTAGTTCTTGTTGTTGCTTTTGCTGGATTTATTCTAGCTCTTTAATCTTTTTTTCTTGTTCTTGAATTTTTTCTTGTTGTTCAGATACAAGTTTGTTTTGCTCTAGTTGTTTGTTTTTACAATAAGCCCGGATAGCAGAACCTTTTCCACGAAAGTGACCAGACCTTGAACCTAAAACTTGAATCAATATCTCCTCTTGAGTCATTGAATCCCCTACCTTAGAAACAACATCTTTTAATTTATCCTGAAAAATATAAAAAAAATCCAGAATAGAAAAACATCAGATTACATTAAATCATAAATAATAAAGAGTTATTACTTTAGTAGGACATACGTACATGTACTTCTTTTGAGCGTATCCCATTTGCCCATTATAGCTCGCCTTTCCCATTATAGTGTGTGTGTTCAATAAGCTATATTACATCTGCAGAAGGCTTTACATTTCCATTCTCTTTCGTCTACACATCAAAGATCAATTAGACTAATTTTAATGATAATAAAAGCAAAAGTATTTACTTTTTTAACCCATACATGAAATCAATCTTACCAGTACATCTTCTACTTCCACAAAAGCCCAATTACCAGTTGTATGAATACATGTATTGGTAGACAGTCGATTCTTAGAGTTCCTTTCACTTACAAACTACATGAGTAGTTTTCACAAAAAAAAAAAAAAAAAAAAAAAAAAAGTAGGTTATTACTTATAGAATGCTGACTAATTTAATGTTATTGATTAAGAAAAATTACCTTAAATTCAGGTGATCCAAAATGCTTTACACAAGATTTCCATTGCTCTAAGGGTACATCAGGGGGAGGATTCTTCATACGCTCAGCATCATCTTTTCCACATTTGGGACTCTTGTAGTAGTAATGTAGCCGACATTTTCACAACCTATATAATCGTTGCATGGTGTCGACAACGAAACCGTACATCTTCAAAGTCCGGCTAGATTCAATTTCAAACTTGTCCTACAATGTAAAAAGAATATAAATAATAAATAGCCAAACAGAATTTACAGCATTACGATATTCCCTTTTTTTTTATCTTAACAACAATTATCAAGTTAATGTACTAGTGCTACCTGTATTTCTTTCCACATACTTTCAACAGCAACTGAAAAAGCTTCCTACCAATTTCGAACATCCAATTGGGCCTTAGTTCTGACCACATGACCACACTCATTCACTAGGTGTCTCGCATTTTCTCCAGTTGCACGATCAATTTCATCAGGGATGTAAACTGAAAGTTTAGAGCCTTTTCCCTTGATTTTCATGTCAACAACATAACTTTTATATTTCCCCCTGTTTCCTCTTCCCCTTCTCTTACTTGTACCTGTTAGCATATAATAAAGTCTTACAAAGTATTTAAGAATTTCATAAAATCTACACATGTTATTAACTTTAAAATTTACCTTGAGTTGCATTTTCTAAACCTATCATATTATCAGTTTCATACATGCTAAAAAATCCATTTGGAAAATTTTGTTTTATGCCTTGTTCTATATTTCTTGTGCACTCCTTTTCCAACTCCAGCTTGTGCCTCCTGTAGAAATAAATTTTAAACTAAAATATACAATATTTGCGAACTTAAAAATAATAATCAGGATGTTTAAATGAATTTATACAAGAATGCAAGAACAAGTACAATTTTTTTAAAGAACGTACTCAATAAGCTCATCACAATTATGGAGAATATAAGAATGAATTTGATCACACTCCTCAAAACTGAGATGTACAGGAACACCCTGTCCAATACAACGACCAAGTGGTCTAAATATCTCAAGATTTGAAGTCCTGGTACCTTCAACAACCTAATCCCCATCATCATCATTTCTTGATTTTCGATTGAACTTAGTATCAATGTCACTCATATATCTTGAGCAGAATGTTAAGCACTCATCTGCAAGATAACCTTCGGCAATAGAACCTTTAGGATGTGCTCTATTTTGATCGTATGCTTTTAATGTTTGGATGTACCTAATGGTTAAAACAAATTTTAAAGTTAGTAAATTATTACCAAACAAGAAAATTAAACAATAAAATATTATAAAAGTGGGCTAACTCTCTATAGGATACATCCATATATATATGACAGGTCCAACAAACTTAGCCTCTCCCGCCAAATGTATAACTAAATGCACCATCACATCAAAGAAAGCGGGGGGGGGGGGGGGTAAATTATAAGCAAAGTTAACATAAAAGAATGGGGTTTCATACATAACCAAGGAGGTAAGTTGTAGGGAATGAGAATCACAAGCCATATACTATATGGCAAATTGGCAAAAGGCTGAAAACCATCACAAGCTAGCCCAAGCCTTACATTACGTACATCTGATTTAAACTCATTGAACTCTTCATCAAATGATTTCCATGCAACTGAATCAGTAGGATGCCTCATAATATCATCATCCTCTCTTTCCAATTTGTGCCACTACATATCTTTAGCAGTTTTTCTTGACATATACAACCTTTGCAAACCTAGACTTTAATGGAAAATACCGTAGAACCTTGTGAGGAACTTGTACTCCCTTAGAAGAGCCTTTTTCATTATCTGTTTTCCACCTTGACAAACCACATTTAGGGCACTTATTCAAATTTTCATGCTCTTTCCAGTAAATGATGCAGTCATTTTGGCAAGCATTAATCTTTGTATAATCAAGACCCAAGTCTTTGATCAACCTTTTTGCCTCATAATAGGAATTTGGAAGAGTAGTACCCCAAGCTTGGCGCTGCAACTTCAGTAAATTGTCAAAAGAGCTATCACTCCAATTATTGAGAACCTTCAAGTGAAGCAACTTCACAATACATGACAGCTTTGACATTTTAGAGCCATCAACTGTCAAAGGCTCTTGAAATTCTTCAAGAAGTCGGTAAAACTTTCTAGCATCTTCATTAGGTTCTTGTAGACACCAAAAGGTGTTTCCCCAAAAACCAAACTCAGTGATGAATATCTTTCATGTTAATGATTATCGAACGAAGTGAAAGTCCGAAAAGTCTAGTGATGCGGTAGTTTTTTTTATTAAAATTCCTTCTTTTTATTTTCGAAAATCTACTCTAGTTATGAAAATACCTAGTCCAATTTATTTTGGTCCATGATTAGGGTCCAATAACAATGTAGTTGTATTGGGCTCGCAAAGAGCTTTCCAATGATATATTATAAGCCCAATTCCGATGAATAATGAGGAAGTTATGGCCAAAATACTAAATTAGGTCTGGAATGGTTTTTATATGTGGCCCAATGATCTAGAGGAGGGCCTATTATTAATTATTATTCCTAAAGTCATTAGGATTGACTTTAGTCTTCTAGAATAATCTAGAAGATTCTCTTAAATCCTAATGGAATTAGGATTGATAATTATATTTTAAAGAGTTTTATTTGGAATAAAATAAGTGTCTTATTTTGATAAATCTGATTTTGAAACTGATAAACGCGGATTCTAATTACTTAATTATATCAGGAAAAGGATTATGTACAACGCGTTTTTATCTTTTAACCAGCGCCAAATGACAGGTTTGTCGCACGACGCAGGGTCTGTCGCACGGCGACAGCTATGCCGCAAAACAAATTTTATTCTAATTCAAATTCTAACTCTTTTCTATCAGTTTCCGGACTATTTTTCTATAAATAGGGCCCTTCACCTCCGTTTTAAAATCATCAAATCCACAATCAATAAGCTTGATCACAATCATCTCTCTTATCTCTCTAAGCTAAACTTATTCTATCTCTATTCTCTTTCTAAAATTGCCCTTTTTAAAAACATCGTACCGCATTCATTAGTTCTAGACACACCTAGCCAAACTTGAAGTTGTCTTCGCCCTCGACGTGAAAGGTTGATACTTTCGGTCCCAAATCCCTATTTCAATTATCTAATTTAATTGTTTGATTTAATATTTTATTGAATTTTACTAACGTGTGTATTCTTTTGATAGAAAGAGGTAAGAGGCATCAAAGTGAGTAATTTTATTACTCTATCCTTTAGAAAGCGCGTTTAGATTATATTAATTCCTAGTATCATGTTAGGATGTTTTTATTGCTTTCTAGTATCATGTTTAGAGTGCTTCTTATTCTTTCTAATATCATGTTAGTATCATGTTAGGGCTAAAGCTTTGATTTTTATTGTTTAGTGACATGCTAGGATTTGTTATTAATCTTGTTAGTATCATGCCTAGGGTCTTACTAATATTATTATGCCTTATTGAGATTGTGATGATGATGATTGTTGGATTGATTGATATCATGTTGCTTGATATATATTATTGTTATTGCTTGGTCACGCCTTTTATGCAGGTTTAAAGGGAAATTGTACTTGAAATCACGCCTAATAAGATAATTAATAATTTGGTTTAGGCTAATATGATTTTAATTCAAGTGATCGCCAATAATAGTTTTGTTTGTGCATTAATATCAACCAATATAGATTAAACAGGTTTAGGGTTAACCTAATGATTGTATGTTAGTCAGAAAGCGCACATGAATATGAGAAGAATAAAGTAGATCCTATTTTATAGGGCGGGTTCAATATCTTTTAGGTTGGATTCGTACCTTCATCCCCGAATATCCAGTCATGGTTCCAGACCACTATGGAGTCAGCGATCTCTTGGATCGTGAAGGGGTGTAACCTTCACCCTGTGAACGGTTTACAAGTTCCTAAAACTTGTTGGAGACTCTTTTGATCTAGCTTCTTTCCCTTTGAACACAACCATGCTTAAGTGTATGATCACAGTGGGGTTCAAGTTTGGGATGCTTGAAATATTCCCTACAGTTCTACATGACTATTCTCAGTAATACCTTTCATGTTTTGCACATCGTTCCCTAAATTCATGCTAGTAATGCCACAAGCATCTTGTAACATATTAAGTTCACTATCATCATCTAACTCACCATTTTCATTGACACTTTGTAAATCCCCATGAAATTCCCAGAAGGTATAGTTCTCATACATTCCCCACTTAAGTAAGTCTAATCTTATATCACATCTCTTTTTACAAAATACATTTCGACACTTATTACAAGGACATCTAATAGTCTCATCTAATCTTACATGGGAATAGGAAAAATTTAAAAAGCCATCAACACCTTTAACATAATCAGGAGACAATCGATTTTTTATTTTCATCCAAGTCTTATCCAAATCCATCTCCTAGTACTAAAAAAAAAACATGTAGATTAATAACACAATACAAGGTTAAAAATTTATAAATTATAGAATTAAAAAAAAATCAACCATTTTTATTAATCACAAGACACCCTCATACTCGCCAAACCAACACACAAACAACAAAACAAAACATAACACACCAGAGAAACAAAAACTAAAAAAAAAAAAGAAAAGAAAACCCACAACCCATTGACACAACCTTCCCCTCAAAAACAATGGCCCAACTAGATTAGCAGACACACCACAACAACATAAGCAAACTCAACTGCAGACTCACACCCACCTTAGGAGGTTTTTAATAATTACCCCAAACTAAACTGACAATTCAACCAACAGCCCAACAAATAGAAAAAACGAAAACTACAACGACAACCCAGAAATTCATATGAAATTAATTTTCAACGACAAACTAATTTCAATGTAATATCATGCAACACATATTATCAACTATTAATTGAACTCAACTTCCACCTAGAAATAACCTTGACCATCCAACAATTACAAAAATTATGAAATTAACCCTTCAAATTATACCGAGATTGGTACCCAGATGCTAGTAACAACTAATAATCTTCTACTAGTAAAATTCTTCAGATCTAACCCTTTATTAAACCATAAAATCCAACCCATCATTTTTTTAAAACCCAAAAATTAAATTGAACCCGACAAAATTAATACCCTACAAATTGAACACAACAATTAAAAGTTAGAAATCTTACATGCAAAGGCCAAGTAGTGTCGCCTGAGGAAGGATGTGTCGCTGGTGAAGTCGTTCACTGTAGCCGCCGCCGAAGAACAATGAAGGAAAGAAAATGAAATTGTGTAAGGTTCTTGAGTGGGAAAGTGGTCTGGGGTTTTTTTGTTCTTAGAATAAGAACAAAATGAAATAAAAAAAGGATGGGAATTAGTTGTATGTCTTTTGTTTAATTTGGCTATTTGTTTTATTTTTTTTATTTTTGATATATTGTTGGCAATGATTATTATTGTTGTTAAACATATTGATCTTTTTTGCCACAAACTATAGTTGTTACAATACTCAAGACTTAATTTTTCGCAACAACTACTGTTGTGGCTATACATTAATTTTTTTATTTGATACGACTACTTTCGTTGCAAATCTTAGTTTTAAATTTTTACCCCGAAATTTTCATTGCCCGCGCTAATGGTTGTTGGAGGGGAACGAAAATTTTATTTTTTGCAACAAGATTTGCAACGGTATATTTGTAGTCGTTGCCAGAATTATATTTTGAAACGACAAACTTTAAGCCGTTACAAAAACTTGTTGCGATAATTGGTTTTTCTTGTATTGACAATTACACATCTTAGGGGGTTTCTCTGAGGTCTTGAGCCTTTTACCCTTTCTTCTTTAAACCACTAGCTTAACCACATTACAACCCTCGAAAGACCTCTTTGAGGTATACATACACTTGTGCAAAATTCGGCTAGAGCTACGTTCGGCCTGATTCCTAACGGATACGTCGGCAACCTCACATCGAGGTGCGACCACATTCATATTCATATTCAAATATGATTGAGTCAAAACACTTCCAATGCTTTTCCCTGTCCATCTAGAGCTAGATTTGGGGGCTTGAATCCACATTACCCAGCCTAAAAAGTCACTATCTTGACTCTTTTCACATCTATTTCCATCACCATAGCCTTTACAGCCAACCTTAGTATCACTTTCACACACTTCATTCACATATTCATGGCCATATCCTCCTTCCCTTAGGAACCCCTTATCATGAAGGCCATGTTTGGTAAATGGCTTTTTGGTAGCTTGTTGGTTAGCTTTGGCTTTTGGCTTTTTTGTGTGGTTAAACAACCAAAAAAAGTGTTTGGTAATTGGCTTTTCAGTCAGCGAAAAAGCTGGCTTTTAAGCCAAAATAAAAAAGCTGCTTTAAGTAGCTTTTTTTTATTGGCCCACAAATTATCTAATAAACAGCCAACAACCAATAATTAATTTACCAAACACTTTTATAAACAGCCAACTTAGCCAATTTCAAAAGCCATTATAAATAGCTAAACATTCCAGCTGGTCAAACAAGCCAAGTGAACCATCCAAAAGCCATTTGCCAAACAAGGCCGAAATCTTTTTCCCACACCACACATGCTTCACGATAGCATCCAGCAAAATCATCATCATCATTCGATAGGATTATCACAAATGTACTTAGCTTCCTGACCTAGGTACATTTATCAAGATTCGTTGTTACACTTGCTTAGCTCCCTGACCTAAGCAATACTCAACAATCACCATTGTATACGTGCCTAGCTTCTAGACCTAAGCAACTTTCAAGATGATTTGTTTTTTATACACAATATATATGATGCTTAGCTTCCTAACTTAAGCAACATACAATGTCAACAAACTACTGTGCTTAGCTAGGGCCGTTTCTGAAATTTCGGGGGCCCATGGGCAAAAGAATAAATCGGGGCCCTATTATATTTAGAATTTTTTTGGTTAATATAGAAGAGGTATTTTTTTTCTATATATGTACTTTAATATGAACAGATTATCATTCTTACAAAAAAAACACTTATAATAAATTAAACTCAATGTAAAAAAAAATACTTCTATATACTACTACAACTATATGATTTGTAAAAACAAAATGAAACATTACGATTGATTCTCTCTTACGAATAAAATTAATCATTCTTCACTAACAAAAGAAATATGATGCATGACAGGATGGAAAGTATAAAAAAAAAAAGCTTAACCAAGAAAAATATAGCATGTTAGCTCACTCGGAGCTTTTTTTTTTTTTGAAGGAAAGATAGAGTATAGCTCAGTAGCTCACTCGTTGCTTGTTTAATCATTTTATCAATTTTGGAAAAAAAAAATACTTAATCAAAATCCATATATAAATTTTTTTTAGGAACCTAACAACACATATTTTTATCATAATAAGATTAATAAGAATAATTTAGGCTATAGTGGTTTATATAAATACACATATAGTAATTTATTTAAAAAACAAAAAGGAAAAAAAGAGAGAATTGGAGCTCTATGGGTAGTCGAACTGCTAACTCCTAAGTACAACAAGTACTCACAAACCATTCCTTACCACCAATCTATAGAGATAATGATGTTGATAAAAGCATATCTAAACTAAATAAACTATACTCTTAGACTCAAAGCTGCTGGAAATGAGGCCCTTTCTATCCGTGGGCCCTGGGCGGGTGCCCCGGCTGCCCTGGGTCAGCGACGGGCCTGTGCTTAGCTTCATGACCTAAGTGCATTCATTGATCGTGTCACATGATGTAATTGTCCTTAGCCTCTTGGCCTACGAACATTCCTCATGCATACAATATTTTCAAGACGAGAAATTCAATTTGACAAGAAGAAAATCCATGCGATTCGTCTCACTTTGCTCAATGAGGAAGCTCATAACTTCTTCCCTTTTTCATGTCTTTTCTTCTTGGGAAGTTCAAAAAACTTTTTCAAATTTTTCTCGACGTGAAAGTACAAAACTTCTTCTATTTTTCATCTTTTTTCTTTTAGGGAAGTTCAAAAACTTTTTTCAAAATTTTTATTGAGGAAAGTTCTAAAACTCTTACTTGTTGTAAATTGTTATTATTATGGATGTCCATTATGGTGTATAACCCCCCCATCTTTATGACTCCCATTGTAACCCCTTTGTAACCCCCTTGTATTATGACTACTATACTACACTTTGTAACCCCTACTTAAATGTATGGACTCTTCATTGTCCATGTGAGTGATCATATGCTCATGTATAAATATGACATAGCTGAATGAAATGGATGGTAGAATACATTATCATCTACATCTTTCTCTACACTATCCTCTATTCTCTTTATTTTATAACACGTTATCAGCACATGAATTATATGTAATTTTTTAATAGGGGGGAGATATTATTTATGTCATTATTATATGTAATCCTTGTACATGAATTATATGATACATTGATGATCGCTCGGTCGTGTATACATTAGCTTTAATATCAATGTCGATAATTTATTTAATATAAGCGACCACATAATATCACATATTTACAATGACACCATCCTGAAGATGGATATGAATAAATGTCATTGACTATATATCAGTTGTAAATACTCCAATTAAAATTAATGTCCTAGAGGGACAACATCGGTTACTAATGAACTTAAAGCACGCCTGAAGCGTGGTAGTCCAATAGATTTAAAATATAATAACCTTCGAAAAAAGGGGAGGATCGAAGCAACTATTGACAATGACAAATTTGAGGAAATGATAAATCCCATTACATTTATAGGAAAAATCACTTTTAGTAAAATTCATATGTTCCATGATTATATAAAAGACTCCAGAGAAGAGTATGAAATGTCCAAACAAGTTTAACATGCATGTATCAAGATTATAGTCAAAGCTTATGAGTAATTACTAGATAAAGTATTAGTTGATTATCTTGCCAATTGTATAAAAAAACACAAGTTGATGTTCTAATATCACATCATATCCATGGCCATGCATAAAATAACTTTAATAAAGAGATCACTAGTGTTGGAAAACTAATCAATATTTAAATGTAGAGAAGTGATTGGATGTGATAATTTACTTAGGTCATCCGGGTTTGTTAAATACCCGTTATGCATGGAAACTTGAAGTTTCACTTGATATAAAAAATAACGTGCTGATGCTCTCTCATGTTAGATATTAAGATATATCAAATAAATTGAATGGCAAGACATAACATTGATATTGAGCTATATTTGGATTGTGATTTTAATGGTTTGTTTTGAAGAAATCTCAAGAGATTATATACTAGTTTTGAACAATTTTGCATGCAAACAAGTAATAAGTGGCCAGAAGCTCACTAAAACAACTTGTATGTGTAGAAATTTTGAGTAATTATAAATTCATTATTAAATTATTTGAAGAATAAAAAGATCACCATATAGTGGCTTTCATACAAGTGATTTAATATTAAATTAATCTCTTGAATGAGGCTATTTATGTCAGCACATACGAAATACAATAAGAAAATAGACAGCTGCACAAATTATGACTCCCTATTAAGATTGATCTCCAGAAAAGATAGAAATTACATAATCCTCTAGAAGACTGAAATTTTTTTTACTATGATTATCCTATAAGATGAAATTTGTTGAACTTGACATTATAATCTAAGTTGGTGAAGAATTGCCCCAATATTTGAGATATTTTACCAACTTAGGGGGAGAAGAATTGGAGTAAGTTGGCAAAATTGCAAAAATTATAATTAGTTGATCCCTATCTATAAAGATACTTTGTAAAGTTACATGCCAACTTTTATATCAAGATAGGTTGCACATCTATTATTTGATTTGTACATCGTTTTAACCCATTCAAAGGCATATAGAGATATATTTTGGTCATAGTGAGAATGTGCATACATTGAGGTAGATCTTGCCAATTTTTTGAATCACTACACCTGAAGTGTAGATTGTAAGATCGATTCCAATATATGTGATATAAGACAAGATAGTGCAGTTGATATTAATACCATAATGTATGAAATACCCCAAATAGAATGGTATAATAGATATCTGAATTATATAGATGGCCTGATATGAAAAAGGGTTATAATGGTACCAATTGGAGATACATTCAAATATCATAGTAAATTAGCATGCGAAATCATATCTTACTGAATTTTATAATACCAATATACTATGAAATTGATACTTCCTCCGTTCTTTATTACTTGACCCACTTTGACTTTTACACTATTCATCACCCCTCCTTTGACTGTCTTTTGTAAATAATATGTAAGGAAAAATATATTCATGTATGATCTTTTTGGATTCGTCTCAATAAGTACTATCATAATATATAACTTTTATAACTTTTACTTATGGAGAATTTAAGTTATTGATCGTTAAAGTTTTGCATTGGCAAGCGTGATAAAAGAAACAGGTTAAGTAAAAAAGAACAGAGAAAGTAAATAATATGCACATACATGATAGAATGGACTAGTGAATAAGGGATTTGGATTATATATGTCCACTTTTGTGTCGACATAATGATAATGATCAAAAGTTTATCATGGACTAGAAGTCCAATGAAATATGGATTTTTAAATCCAAACTGTACAGTGTCTTGCATTATTTTGAGTCTTATGTCCATATGCATGTGTGACTCATAAGTTAATGGATTATTCATTGCATATGTTGGAAGTTGTTAGATGCATTACTCATTGTATATTTCGTTTAATATATTTTCATGTTTTCTATATCTCATATTGC